TGCACAAATGTGACGTGTTTAGATATATTTGCACTTGAACCGATGTACAAATGTGACGTTTGAGATGTATTTGCACTTGAAACAATTCACAAATGTGACGTGCAGATATATGTTCACTTAGACCAATGTACGAGTGTGACGTGTTGGGATGTATTTGCACTTGAACCGATGCACAAATATGACGTGTTTAGATATATTTGCACTTGAACTGATGCACAAATGTGACACGTTTAGATATATTTGCACTTGAACCGATGCACAAATATGACGTGTTTAGATATATTTGCACTTGAACCAATTCACAAATGTGACGTGTTTAGATGTATTTGCACTTGAACCTATGTACAAATGTGACGTTTTGAGATGTATTTGCACTTGGACCAATGCACAGATGCGATGTGTTTAGATATGTTTACACTATTTAACCGATGCCTAGTGTGATGTGTTTAAATATATGTGCCCTTGAACCAATGCGCCGATATTTTAATTTCCATTTGAACCAATGCAACGATGGGATGTTTTTAGATATATTTGCATTTGAACCAATGCACCGATGTGATGTTTTTAGATATATTTCCACTTGAACCAATGCACCAATGTGATATTTTTAAATATATTTGCATTTGAACCAATACACCAATGTGATATTTTTAGATATATTTGCACTTGGATCAATACACCAATGTGATATTTTTAGATATATGTGCCCTTGAACCAATGCACTAATGTGATGTGTTAAACTATCTTTTATAATTACTGATTGCTTTTGATATCCAATGATTACTCTAATTCTGTACTTTCTATTGAGTAAATTAGATTTAGTTAGATCTTGGATGTAAAGTGTGGTTGCATTTTGTCGTATGTTTTGCTTATAATTGTTGCCTTTTGCTCCTTCTGAATTTCCATTGCCTCTAAGCGATCTTTGCGAATACACAGCGGTGACATGATAATATTCCACTAGGGATTGCTGAAGTGTCAGCATAATATAAAAGCGGCGATAAGTGTATGAGGCTGTCAATGAAAGTATGATATGCATGACTGCTTGGTGAACAATTGATGCACTAAAACTGTCTACTTTTTGAAAATTAATTACTAACTAGTGTAGGATGATCTAGTGTTTCCCAATTAGCATTCATATGTAGACATGTGAAACATTTAGCTTGCAGAAGATTAGCATTTTAATCCAAATAAATCTCTCTTCACGTCAGAAAATATTTGTTTTACCATTTTCAAATTATTCGGTGATTAAAAACGATGATATTTCAAACGGGATTAAGTAATTAAATGGCTTTTATCTCATTGAATACGTCTCTATCCCCTATTCTGTCATTTCCACCCATTTGTGGAATTATATCATGTATAATTAGTCTTAATTTGCCTGAGAATTTCTCACCACTGAATGAAAAATTGGTTTGCATTGGGATTGCTATGTGGTATTCAACTATTCATTGTTGACATATTTCTCTCTTGAATTGTATCATGAATATCTGTTATAATATCAGAAAATCGTGATTATTTATTTTTTATTTAATAAAAGCAAATTCAAAAGTGGCACTGGACAGGTCGTAAAATAAAGTCACGTGATTTAAAAATGACCATGCCTTTGAGTGTTTGGTGATGTGTTTGTAAAATAATGGCTCGCTTAACTCAATGTCTTTCAGAGTACATTATATATGTCTCTGATAAATCAGTAGAATATATCTAGAACACTGTTCCACAACTGGATGACTCTAACTGCAGTTAGCTTCATTCAAGATGGTGGACAAAATTCGTTCATTTTCGATAAATCTCCAATTACAGCCAAACCAAGCTGAATCTTGATCCCAAAAGTTTCGCCATGCAAACTAAAAAATATATGATTGTAAACAACCACAAATCAAGGCTCAAGCACCCGCGATATTAGAGAAATTGAAAGAAAACGGCTTCACTTAGAATGACTCTAACTGAGGTTGATAAGAAGTTAACTCCAACACAGATTTCACCATTGATGACTCTAACTGAATGGAGATTTATAATGGGCTATACAAATTACCAATAAGCAGTTCCGTAACCAGGGGAAGCTGGAGGTTCGGTAGTTTCCCCCTCCCTGGCCAGAAATTATTTCAAATTCCCGCAGGTTTTCACCACTCTGAGCACTTTTCGCACGATTTTCTAAACAAAACTATCAAAAAGCACCCCCCCCCCCCGATTCAAATAACACCGGAGAATATTATCATTCTAAATTGTAAGCGAATGATGGATAAAAAGGGTTTCTTTTATCGTGAAGCAACAATATTGTATACAATGATGTAACAACCTGAATATTGAAGACATGCAGTTAAAGGCAATGTTCATTTTTATTTGTTCAGTCAGTGCATTATCAAAATAAAATAAGTGTATATGGTTTACTAAATTATTGCTTATGACAGAATTCACCTTATTATCCCTTTTTTAAACTTCGAACACATTTCCTTAATTAATTAGATTATTTGTGAGAGACTGTGTTTTGCCATACGCACTGGGCTTTGTCTTGTTATGTAACCACGTGACCACAGATGATGCCTTCCCATGGTACTGGTGGTTAATTGTTCTGTGTAAATATTAAGTAGTTGGTGTGGTGTATAGTGTTGGGAGTGGTGGCTTAGACCATGTCTTGAGACATTACCTTTTATGGACACGCATGGTCATGCAATCTGTGTCAATTGGTTAGAGGTCTCGTTGATTGGACCTGGGAGATATGGTCTAGTATCTAAGTTTCCCCAAACCATTGTCAGTTCTTATGTGACAGGTAGAGTATATTTAGTTGATCCTAGGATGATGCCATTAGTGGTGACATCTCCTATTGTCATTAATGTAGAGCGGCCGGACATCTCGATCCTGTTGCGGATCCTCTCCCTTATATGTTGGTCATAATAAGGGCCGAAGATGTTTCGAACTCATGGGGGTATTCCATGATATGTTTCTCATCAGCGGCCAAAGAAAAAAGGTTAAGAATATAGTGAGGGCTACTTTTTCCTGTTCAGGTTACGCGTTTCGCGGGATTGTTATTGGTTTCTAGAGAATGTTGTTTTGCTGGGTTAGGTTTTGTTTTGGGATTGTCTCCAGTTGGAGACAGTTAGTTGGGTGCTAAGTAAATTGGTATCATAGTTTGGTTGTGTTTGTAGATTGTGCCTGATTGTATTTAATAGTGTAATTTAATTGATTTAGTATTGGGTTGTGACTGACTCTGTTACTGTGGTTGGTGTCAGGTTGTGTTGTAATGATTCAACAATGGGTTGATTTGAATTCGGTCTCGTTGGCTATGTTGTATTGTGTTGGTTTGTTGTTTGGTTGTGTTCCATTGTGTTAGTTTGATAGTCGATTGTGTTTTGGTGGTTGTTTGTCTGGTTGAGCCTGGATGTGTTGTGTAAGTTTGGTATCGGGTTGTGTCTCATTAAGTTATGTTAATTTCAAAGTGGTTGTGTTATGTTGTAATTGTGTTGTGCTGGTCGGTAGCGGGTTGTGCCCAGTAGGATAAAGTATGTGGTTGTGTCAGATTGTGTTGCGTGATTGGTGTTGTTTTCAGAGAGTGTTGGTTGGGTGTTTTTGTGTTCCAGTTTGGTTGTGCCTGATTGTGTTTTGATTGTTTTGTGTAAAATTGTTCTTCGTCCATTATGGGTTGTGTTTTGGTTTTGTTGTTTTATTATTTGGTTGTGCCAAATTGTGTTGCGTATATTTGACAATTGGTTGTGTTTTCGGAGGTTAAACTAAGGTTGTAGTATTGGGTTGTGTCGTATTGTGTTGTTGGCTTGTAGTTGGGTTGTGTCTGGTTGTTTATTTAGCCTGGTTTCGAGTTGTGCCTTATTGTGTTATGTTAATTTTAAAATGCGTTGTGTTATGTTGTGATTTTGTTATGCTGGTCGGGGGGCAGGTTGTGCCCAGTCAGGTTAGGTATCTGGTTGAGTCCGATTGTGTTATGTGGTTGGTTGTGCCCGATCGTTAAATGAGGGGTGGTGGCGGGTTGTGCCCGATTATGTTAAGATAGGTGGTCGGTTGTGCCTAGTCGGGTGAGTTTATTTGGTTGTGTTCGGTTGTGTTGTGTGATCTCTCTGTGTTGGGGTTTTAGTTTGGTTGTTCCTATCCGTTGGAGTCTGGTCTCTGTATCTGTCTTCAGTAAACCTAAAATAAGAATACTGCAATGTTCCATGGTGGCGTTTTTTAATTACAGGTCGTGTAGACCATTCTTACTTGACTAGAAAAACATTGACTTTCGGACGTTTGCGGCATTTCGCCTTTTACATCATATACTTTAATCCTAGAATACTTACAATATTTTACCATACCGTAAGCCTATTCATTTGGCCATTCAATCGTAAACTAAATTTTGTCTTGAAAAAGTAAATTTTCCAGATTTGTTGAAATTTCTACCAGAATTTGTCTGCTCCCCCTCCGTCCAATTTCTACGATCACCGGCCATGGGATTGAATAGAAACTCACTCCATGTCAAAATACAAATGGCTACAACCAATAACAACAGTCAATAACATTTAGATATCTTATAACAACAGACAGGGCCGTCCATATATTCATCCCATTGAGTTAGCTTCATTCCCCGTTTCAGTTAGCTTCATTCCTACGTCATCACTAACTTCAGTTAGAGTCATTCTAAGTGAAGCCGTTTTCTTTCAATTTCTCTAATATCGCGGGTGCGTGAGCCTTTATTTGTGGTTGTTTACAATCATATCTTTATTAGTTTGCATGGCGAAACTTTTGGGATCAAGATTCAGCTTGGTTTGGCTGTAATTGGAGATTTATCGAAAACGAACGAATTTTGTCCACCATCTTGAATGAAGCTAACTGCAGTTAGAGTCATCCAGTTGTGGAACAGTGTAGAATATCTACTTTAACGCCTCCTATTTTCAAGAATGACGAATAATGAAGTGACGAAGAGAAATATAATACTCGACCAATCACAGAACTCGTAGAGCTGACAGCGTCTGTAAATTGATGAAATTAATGGCAACTCTAATTGGCCTATCATGACTGTGAATTGAATTTTCTTCATCCTCGGTGATATCGGAGTTTATTTTTTGAAATAACGGGAAGCAAGAAGCAGAGCAAGTATTATACAACGGCCTTAGTGAGTGATTAAGACGAGAACTTTCCATTTCTCTGTTTTTGCCTATAGTTAAGAAGGATCCTAATACTGTTTTAGTTAGACGAACATTTTTCAAACTGTGGACTTGAAGAATTTCCGTCGCGATCGTTCGTTTTCAAGTCTGAGGGTGCGGCGAGAGACCCAAACGCATTAGGGGTTAGTGAAGGAGTAAAAACTGTGAAATTCAAAACACGAAAAGAGGAATACCAAAGGATTAGAACAAGTTGATTTAACTAATTAAAATATATCCATAGACACACGCTTTTGAACCATTAGTTTATTTGCGAACCACTTCAGACGAGGCAAGGATTACTCAGAAGCTTATACATATACGATTACATAACTCGAAATAAGAAAATTAAATGTTCTATAGAACATAGGCACTAGTAGCATATCTGAGAGAATGGATACAAAAGTGATACCGATAGTACCCCAGGCAAAAAGACTAAATGGATTCAGTATCGAATCGTTGATGAGTAAACCGGAAACTTCCCCGACTAAATCCATGTCCCCAGCGCTGAGCAGTCCTGGATCTAGAGACACTACACCCTCTCCGCATGGCTTTCACCCAGTGGGTCCCCGCAGAGAAATACATGACATCACAACGCAGTTACCATCATTACATCAACCGCACCCACTGATGCTACATGAAAACAGACTGGCTTTAGAACATTTGAAACATCTTCAATCCGTGCACCCTGCCACACTACCGGGTAGCTTAGCTCACCTTGGTGGCCACCCTGGCCTAACTGTACCCCATCTTGGCGTGCATAACCCCCTACACTCGATGCTGTTAGGGGCACAGAAGGAACATCTACCTTTCTATCCCTGGCTTACTCGACATCCATTCCTACACAACAGATTTGCAGGTGAGTTCATAACTGAATATATATGATGCTCTTGTACGTTATGGCTTACTACTTGATCGAGTTTTTCAATGGTAATGCATAGTTGGCAAAAGATAAGTTGCGTTACATGATTTTCTGATCTCCCTCTAAATGAATAAGCGCAATGGGCAATATAATAATGAATATATTTAAAATAAATAAATTCCAAATGGGGATGATTTAAAGTTTCACATTATTTATTCTTTCAAAGTAAAACATATAATCTCACTTTTTATGTATACTGATAAGAGAAAATTGATAGGCATTCATTTACATTTGCCGCAAAACTGCAGGGTCTTGGTTACAAATTATCGATCAAAAAATAAATCTTTTGTTTGACCAATTAATTTGTTTTATCTTAGTAGATAACAGCTTTGCTCTAGGATAGTGTTACTATCTTTAGTAATTTGAGTTCTGTAAATTCTTCTGAATAAACTTTCCCATTTGAACCAAATGGTTCACGAGACGTTAATTATTGGTTTATTTTAAGAGTATCAATTCTTATTTGTTAAATTACAACTAAGTATGTGATAATGTATCTCTTGTTATATCAGCGCGCATTTGTTGCCTTTTCAGCTGTTTCTACCTTTCTTGCAAGGATATTGTCATGAGATCTTTTTAAACTTAGAACACCTCCCAGTCTTAATTTCATATTTCTTATTTTCATAAGGAAAAATACCCCGAGCTTCTATACCTTTGTGTTGCCTTGCCCTTAGTAGAGGCATGCATGCGATTGACTTATGATTTTGACCCAAGTTATGAATCTTGTCTTGTATCAACCTGGGGTATCAACCTTAATGTTATTTCTTGAAAAACTGTCTATAGGTAATCTGGTTCCAAAGGTTTACTCAGTTAAATTTGGTATTTATTGATGGGCAATGCATTTCTGGGTTAATTTTGTATCATTTCTGGCATGATGGGCTGATAAGAATGAAACTGGTTAGTAAGTGGTTCATATTATAACCTGAGCATGTGAGGAATCATATTATGTTGTTGATTGTTGAACAAAAATAAAACGTATTATCAGGTATATTCAAGCGCTTTTGCCACACGTTAGCTACTGTTGTCCTACTCACGGATTTATTCAAAATTGATATGATGCTGTATTCTGAGATCACGGTTGAATGCTGACCACAGCTTGTTCTGCTCATGGTGTTGTCCCGCACATGATGTATGTCAGTGGGAGGAGGGGAGACGCCTTTTTCTTGTGAGCACACAGAATTTATTGGCATTATTGCATTTTAATAGAGCCTTAATAACGCTTGGTTTAACCTTTTTCAAAAATGATTTTCTTAAATTTGTAATTTACATAAGTCAGATGCTGAATAGAAAGGTTCAAGATGGTTATAATTTATTATAATTTCTTTCAAGCTCATCTCCTCTGACTTGGATATTAATTTTACCATATTTAAGGTGTTCATGGTACCATAAACTTATTAGCTCTATACTCTTTGTATCACCTAAAATCTATTTTTCTGACAAGTTACATTCAAAATCAGTTATCACAAAGGCCTGCATTTGAAACATAAAACATACACATTCTTCGATGTCGTCAACTAAATCTAAACATCATTGTATACTTTATGCATTTCTATTCCTTATGAAAACTGGAAACAAAGAATATCACCAAACAACCACCGTGAGAGATGTCTTCTTTTTGTCAGTCTCTTTGTTTCACATTGCTAGTTTTAATCAAAAATGACTTTTAAAAATATTTAATTTAATTTAAATTAATCCGTTTATACAACAATAATTGAAACTTTTTAAACCGTTATTAATATCGATATTTTACTTATTTTTTTGTTACTAAAACTCGAGGTATTGTGAAGGGTAATTTTGAACTGAAATAGTCTAGATGTCATTTTTGCAATCAAGAAATACATATTCTATCAGAACAAATATTTATTTTTGATTTATCCATATTTTAGGCTGTTGCTGTTTAGCATTCTGATATATTTCACTTCTAACTGTTTTAAATTACAAGATCCACAACACCCATTTCCAAGACATTTTTACCATGTAAATATTTTTTTCAAACATAACAATAATATCAAGGGCTATTCTGTTCTAAGCCAACTGATTTAATGATATTTTAATTTTGATTATTTGGTAATTCAATTAAGAACATTTTGTATCCGTGTTCCCATGTTCCATAGTTATTTGGTACTTATGATTTCTATAAGAGTTTATCCTAAAAGCATATTGTCACATCCTAATGTTGACTTTTGCTATTGTGCGTAAACAAAATATGCCTTTAATAAATTTAGTCTTGGACGAAAAGGGGATGAATATAAAATTGTCACGTTTTTTGTGTCTTCCGCATATAGCGTATTTGATAAGTAAACTGGACGATGAATAGCTGCGGCGGCTCTTCAACGTAGAGGTCGTCGGGGTTGCTTCTTCTAATCTTCTACTCATACTCTATTGAGATATATCTATATCACACACCCATTAGGACCACATTTGCCCATGTTACAATCTAAATGAATTTACTTTACACTATTTCGATGTATAATAGATTCCTTATAGACTTCTTTTAGCAAATTTACACATCCCAAATTACTGGAGAGTGCTTGATGCCCAAAGAACACGTAGGCCTATTATCCTCTTAAATCCTTCTTGTAATTGAACAGGCTTTTTCAAAACAGAAAAACAATTTAAACACACAGCTTTTGCATGCCTTTCTTTAACTCATAGTAGCCTTATTTTCACAGATGTCTGTCCAACTATGATATGTTTGTTGTGTATAAAACACCAGATCAAAGTCAGTATAATAGAAAATAGCGACAAAGTTAGCAGAGCAAATATGTATTATAAATTGTAAAAAAGAACTACAAGAAAAGTAATAGAAATAGCACAATAAATATTGACATTGTGGAATTGATGAGGGTCCGTTCTACTTATTCTTCAACATTTTATACTTCAATGTGCTGTAAGAACAGTGTTAATGATCAGGTTGTTTTGTGTTTCAAAACTCATTCAGAAATTCTTAAATTATAATTTGACATGTGCAATTTGATTTTAATTGAGATACGAAGCAGTAAATTGATCAATACTTCCTTAAATGTATTGGTAAAAAAAACAAAAAACTGAAAATAAATTTGAAGAATTACGTAATGTAATCTTCGAAGGGCTATTTTGTAATAACATTTATTTACCCCTAGTGTTGCCCGTGTTTTACGTCGTGTATTATGTTCTAAGCTAAAATATAGATAAAACCTTATTTTATAGGGCCAGATGGGTTGCTGTTACCACCATTCCGAAAACCAAAGCGAATAAGGACGGCCTTTTCACCTACCCAATTACTGCGTCTGGAACACGCATTCGAGAAAAACCATTATGTCGTGGGCCAAGAGAGAAAAGAGCTAGCTTCTAATCTTGGATTGACAGAAACACAAGTAAATAATAAGCTATTTTACTTATGAACTTATTTTAAAATTCAGAATTTTGTGCGCAAAAGTAGGTAAAGTAGTGGAGATTGAGTCAAGCTTAATATCATCTCAACACATCATTGGTATACTATGTACAATTCTGATTCTAAATTCTTTGGCCGCTTTAAATTCCTTTGTCAAAGATTTTGCAATAGTAACATTAACCTCTCATTTACCGAACGACAACAATTACCATAACTCTATTTACATGAGCAAATGCTCAACAAAATATACAAACATTGTCGCTTTCTTTTGTTTATCCTATTCGTGTGCAATCGGGCTATTTATTACATGTAATGGACTTAGGGTCTTTAACCATTGTTCTCTGTTTGGTTTTGACGTAGAAACGTTTCGTTCTTCTTAATGGGCTCTAATTGTTTGGGATTTAACTCTAATGGGATAAGTCAAAATTAAATGCTTTACTTAAGCTAAGGAGTAATGAATATTGCATTGTGGTAGGGTGTTAGCTCAGTATCTTTTCGTTGATTTAAGGCGGGACAAGAGTCCTTGAGTTGTTCTTAAATCCTTATCCCTTCTCTGACAAAATAGTTTCTTTTCACAAAGCTATTCACTCAGTTACCACCATAGTAAACAAAATTCAATGTAACGGTATATAATTTCATTAAAGCTTTCTGACTATTCTGAAATTAAGACCCCACAATTTACTTTTACATTTCACCGGCAGGTGTTGTAAATATCCCATGACAAAATAATTTCTAAAATGTTCCTTATTGGTTTCGGGATTTTGGCAATTCATTGTTTATTGAAAGTTGCCGTCTCGAGGAGTATATACTCTCAAAAGGTGGCATCTTGATCAGTGGTCTATGGGCACAAATTAACCTCCTCCAATAATAATTAGTATCGATTTACAGTCAGATCAATAACAACTTATAAGTGTCGTCAACTGGAAAGTCCAAAGGGAAATTATTAAATTATATTTAAATCAGAGTATACAGAATTAGAATCCTTATGCCGATAAATTGAGCGTTTAGTCATTTATGTAATCACGGAGAGCAAACCGAAAGTTGCAAACCGATAATATTGAGCATAATTAAGCATAAATACTCAAAGGAATCTAAACATAATTTGTGAAGTAATTCTTTGAAATAAACACATCCAATTTCCGACATTTTGAATGGTTTTTGGCGGGAACGTGATTTGCGTTTCCGGCAACTCGCTGATCGCATTAGAAAGTGGAATAACTCATCTGACTTTTACATTCGATACTCTTATTTCTGATAAACTAAGGAAATTTGAAATTTTCCATAAAAACATCAAAGAAAATCATTGTACCGAAATATCTGTACATTTCAACAAATAATTTGTCAGGAAACGAAAAGATAGTTAGAAATTAGATTCTGTTCCGATGTTTTCAACCTGATGCTTAATCATCGCTAATAGCTGCATTGTTAACCATAATTAAGATTATCAATGTATACACCCTCACAATAATTAGCTAATTGATAGAATAAATATTACGCGAATTACATTCATTTCATGAATTCTAATTTGGAATTATTTTACAATTAGAATTACTAATTGAACTAAATATCATAATATGAAAGTTTGATCTAATCATGTTCCTAATTTGGAACTACATGGTCGATGACTAGAAATGTCATGAGCAAAAAATATGTCTCTGCTTTAATTGCTTTGATTCGGAGACTGGATACGTTTAAGCAGTTGCATGGGATGAATTCAAATACCAGATTCCAGTGAACTTAGTATTGTATTACTTGTTCTTAATGGGAATATTATGTGGTCTTTTATTTTTATCTATTAGTTTAAGTAGCTGATTAAAGTTAAGTTACACATCAAAATCTCGTCCCGTAGAATAATCAATATATTGCGACAATAATTGAAAGTAACAGTAGTTGTAATTTGTGCTCGTTCTGGTACTGTTACTATACCAGCTGAATATAACCTGATTATAGCATTGCGATACTTGATCCTTCAGCCCTCGTTTAGTTATTAAATAAATTTGCTTTCTTGGCTTTTGATATAGATAAATTTCTTCCATTGTGGTTTGCAAATGAACAATTGTATATTGCGGTTAATGAACATTTTATGTAAACACGCCAATCTGTTCTGTGCCATTCTACATTCACAATAGACCTGCACATGCTAAAAACGGTTATAAATTTTTTCACATAAAAGTCTCACAATCATGTTCATGTATTTATCGATATATATTGATCTTTACTTAAGTATTAGCGTTAATTATTTGGTAACCTTAACATCAGGAAAAAGTCATGTGAAAGTCTCAAATCAATTCACAAGAAAGTACATTCCTTGTGAAAGTTCGTGTTTCGATGTTCAGTTCGTTCTAAAATGTCAGATTCTCGGATGTCAAACCCTGTCCTAAGTGATCTAAACACTTATTAAATGTCAATACAATCACCAAGACCGGGATGTTTGTGTATAGAGTGGTAGATCTTCATCCGCGCATCACTTGCACTAAGTCAAAGTTGCATCACTCACCGGAAGTGACTATTAAGGATCATTACACTCCGGAAAATAACACAAATACTAAACGCTTGAAAAAGCTACTTTCCTTTTATTGCATAAATTGATTGCGGTAATGAGCAGGATGCCTCCCTTTTAAGATCCCTTTTGCTATTAATTACAGAAATACAATTGACTTTTGGTGCAATACATTAACATAATGATTTGACAACGGGTTTTGTTATCGTTTTACTGGGCGTGGGAAGATATTATCTCCAATACTTGCAAGAACCACTGTTAATCGCATATGTGATTTGGGGGCTAATGTGGTTCTATCGTATGAGATGAACACTTTGAACTTTCAATATGGGATTTTTGAGAATTCTATTTAATACTTTTCCAATTCCTGCGGATTTTTATTGGTTTACATCTCACCATTTGTGATTTTTAATACCAAAGTAGCTATTTTTCTCTGTATGAATTATTTTATCACAACGTGCGGTACTGGAGAGCTCATTAAATCTCCAAGGCTGATTTGTTAGTTCATTTTTCATGTGAGCTCTCATGGTACAGGCACCATATGTGTCATAATTGATGGGATACATGACATAATATGAACATAACTTCTCGACTAATATGCGCAAAAATGCATTCCCCATCTCCCGGAGGACAGGTGACTGTACGCGAGTTTCAACGACCATAAAGGATAGGACCACACACTATTGTTCTCATGGGCGAAAGCACTTAAAGCAAAGCTTGGAAAACAAAACAATCAATTTCATTTATAAAAATTAAAGATTTGTTAGGTTAGTTAGTCCATACTCACATATTCTAATTGAAACTAAAAAGTAAGTCTCATGGTTGTGCCATTTTGTCTTTTACTCATGTTTGCCTCGACTATTTTTGGATTCTGGCTAGGCCCCTGATATTAAAAAAATTATATAAATTATATACAATTTCAAAATGAAAATGGCAAACACATAAGTTGTACGTTTATATAGAATAATTGTTACTTGCTCTTTTAATGCTTTTTAACATTAATACCAAACGTCATGGATTTCTGAATTTTGCGCCGCTTTTCGGATTTAGAAAATTACGGCATCCTTACATATGTCAGGACTCCCATCTTTTTGTGGCATTGGCTCCTTTAATACATTTTGGCATAAAATAGCTGTTATTGACATAATGAATGAACTGAGACATCCGATATTTGATTATTTAAGATTATCCGATTATTGAAGATTTCAAATGATGCATTGGATGTCCAAATTCTTTGAAATCAACAATAAAGCGTGGGACGCCCTTTTTATTTTTTGCAGATAACCTTAAAATCGAAAGATTATTCTGAAGTGAGCCACAACTGTTGAAAATGGGAAAAAAGTATCTCCAAATTGTGACAACGTTTTTGAAACTTACTCTCGACTGATCTCTTTCCCCTCTAGTTCCCTTTCCTAGGAAAATCATGTATTATCGAATTGGAAATGAGGGAAATGAACAAAACAGCCATTTAAAAATATTATAGAATTTCTAGGCTCAGTTCTGTATCACATATCCCTCCGCGCACTTCAAGCTAAAGACAACTTCTGACATATCTAAGGATTTTTTGTGGGGGAGATATGCCCATTATTGGGGTATCGGGTTTAAGTCTACTGCAACGTGTGTAAAGTCTGGATACACAGTAAGCTGCAGTCAGTCATCCTGCAATATGCAGTGGGCAACTGATCTTTCCAAGAAACTATTACGATTAGAAAACGTATCGAGTTTCAGCCGTCAGATACGACCACACAGACCTTCATGATACCATTTACCAATTAAATTCAGATCACTCCATTATTAAAGAAGACTTTTTATATAAAAAAGAACATACTTTAGATACATGCGAGCATAAATTTAATCATCGTGTATTGAAGATTTGATGAATTCTTTTTAGGAGCGCTCAAAAGAAATGTGACATCAATAATAGAAATAAAAAACGAGAACATTCCAATGAAGTTTTGAATTGACTATTTTTATGATGGGATCAATTGGGACATGTCTCTCTATTGTGTGTTTATGCATAGAGGGTACCTCATCTAGCGCGTCATCAGGGCGATAATCCATAGACATATTTATACAACTGTACATTAGATTTTTGATTCCATACTATGATTATAAATTATAATTCTTATTTATCAAATGGTAACGATATATCAAGATTTAAACCCTAAGCAATTCACAAATCATTTGATTTGGTTTATACTTCCTCAATTTATTAACCAAGAACGGATAGATGAGGGAATACGGGCAATTATTACAAACATAAATCCACATCTGTAACGTTTATCTTGCATTTGCAACATTTCGTATATATTTCAAAGCCACATTTTACCGATAACAAGTCCTGTTATCAATACGATGACAATGACTAGATGTCGGCGTGGTAATTGCTGGAACGAAAATTACCCATCCGCAGAGATGATAGAAGAAAAACGACAGCATTAAAGGTTACTAAGATGCGCAACACTTACAAAACGATTCCACTAATTGAACTTTTATCTTTTGGAACACGACTAAGAATGCAATTTACCACATGGTGGCCATGTTTTCACTTTCGGTATAACTGATTGTACATGATGCTAACAGTACTATTGTATACATGTATCTTCTTTATAAAGGGCACTAAATATATACAAACAATAGGCGTTCCCAAATGATGTTTCCTCAATGTTTAACTAATTGTACCTTTTCTCATTGTCATAATAGTATGAAACCTTTCGCTAAATCCACTAGAACGCAGTTTCACCTCAGGTATTTGACTGAAAGAACTGTATATTTAAACTTAAAATGTCTTAAAAGTACGTTTTCATGTGTTGCAGGTGAAGGTCTGGTTCCAAAACAGGCGCACAAAGTACAAGAGGGTGAAATCAGAGGAGGGGTGTGATATAGAAGGGGCCGATAGTGAAACAGAAGATGACGATCGAGCTGCCGCTAACTCCAAGACGGCACACCATCTCAGCAGATGGAGAACTGAAACGAACCAAATACACGCAGCTTTGATGGAGCTTGAGGATCCTGAGTAATAAACGATAATGAGTAATAATGAGAATCAGTTAACTTACATAAATTGTAGCTTTCAAAGACATTGTGGTAACGGACCCTGTGGCAATGAGAAGGTTTTAGAATAGACCAGCAAAGCAGACTACTGAATCAACTTATAAAACTACATCAGCGGTATATAGATAAATACCAAAATGAAATATAGTATTTATTTATATGTCTCTGACTACATGCAATATGGACAGAGGTATTCAGAATTTCGCGAAAGCGCTATACATTATAGCACTTTGGAAATCGAAGAAGCCATGCAACACTAAATTGGGTTGGTCTAGGCGTATGATAGATATAGTAAAAAGATGTAAAAACGATTTCCAATTCTTTTTAAAATTTAATTTACAAATTTAGTCTATTAGTTGCATTCATCTAATTGGAAGAATAGCAAACATGTTTGCAATAAACACAATATTAGTATCTGGGGTGTCACTTGAGATTTACACGAGAATATGTCCAAAAATGTAAATATGAATAAAATTGGTGTAGAAAATTAAAATAAATATAATTTTATTGTGTAAATATGTGCAGAGATTATAAGATAGTAATAAAATATAAGTTATACAAACAAGAAGCAGTTTTTGGTTGATTTACTATGAAATCTTGCATTATATCATATTATATGTATAGCCATCATTCTACTTATATTAGCATATCATCAGTATCCCGGCCCGTTTTCATATCATTGTCATTACCCCTTTCAATCAACCTTCAAGATCTGGCTTCACTGCTATAAAGCAGCTATAGAATGAAGTGAAATACACGGATTCTTTTCAACAGTTAGATGCTCCTTTTTTACAAGAGAGATACTACCAGCCGTCTCAGGGTTCATTATTATAGAACAAGTATTATATTTTATCATATTTAAGCAAGTTCATAAACAATTGACCTTTTTGAGAAAACCGCCAACTGAAATGCCCATCGCAAATAATTTACCCTGTGACATGCTGACATAGACCTTGTAAATAATTTTGTAAAATATTGCAAAAATATTGTTCATTTATACACATACGATTTGTTCATGCGATACATTCCCGGGGATACATTAGACTTCTCTTGGAGCTACTAGTACTAAATATCCAAGTGTTGTCCCTAATAGACCTTCTGATCACAACCCTACAATAAGGACGTTGGGCATCATGAGAAATCCTGGCCTTCTATAACATCAGTTCATTTGTATTACTGGCTGAAAAATAGAAAGATGTGAGTATACGAGTAGAATGTACAGTTGGTCAATCCTAATAAAGTCAGATCACGGCACTGTAATTATTCTCAACCCCATAACAGTCCTAAGATGGAGTCATAGGAATTCAAATATTTCGCACTTCATTTTCGAAAACAGAAAGTCAGTAAGAAATATCTTTTATGAAATACTGGGCCTCGTTATTTTGCCCGTGCAAGCGGGGTAGGTAAGGGTTTTGAACTTTAACAATTTAACCCCCTTTCAATTTCCAGTTCTTCGCCCCTGTATAACTGTACAATGTAGCGCTTTGTCCTTCATTCACATTATCCACTAGGTTTTATTTCGTCCGGTGCATTATCCAGTATTCATGATCATGAACAACTAGATAGTAAGCCACACGCAGAGATTTGTTTAAATCTAAAACAGTTTACTACTATCGATATTCAAATGTAAGAAGTCCATTGAAGCTAACAACGCATTCTTGCGTGTGTTGATGAAGTCTGGTATAATTATGACCTGAATGCTATATCATATGACAGAAAACATTTCCTATCTGCAATTATTGCAGCATTAGGCTATTATGAATATGAAAACAGACCCTTCGATCAATGATGCAAGACGTATCCGATCTAATGACGTTCCTTTCTGGGCAACAAGGAGCTTCATGCCTCACTGCATAGTTGGAGTAGATACAGGTTTTCACAATTAAACGATCTTAATAGCCTTAATCGATTGCAGAGAAAGCACAGACTATCTCTAATTACACTTACATATTACAATGATTTTTTCATTCAAAGTTGATATCCGAATCTATCAATTTACTCTTTTGACTTAAACTTTGTTCTTATAGAACAGGGAAAACAACAACCCTCAAGAGTTGCAGATCCATAAGTTATCAACCAATAAAATTTGAGACGGATTTGCTTCAGATGGGCTTCAGATGGTAACATGTAATTGCGTAATTTGAAAATATATTTCTTCTTATATAAAAATGGCAGTCATTTTCCATTTAGCAGCCATCCCACAAATTCCTATTCCAAAAAGACATCGGCATATACATTTTGTTGAGCAAAATCTGACAACTGACTACATTTTTCATGAAAAATAGTGGTCATTTTGAATTCAGCTGGCATTTTCATTCCTTCTTGAGAATAGATTCTATGTCCATAAGGCACCAGCATATACAATTTAAGCCAAATACGTCAGCTGGTATTTGTTGAGTTATCAAAGAGTACATGTTTTAGAAGAAATGGCGGTCATTTTGCGGGGTATTGGAAATTCCTTCCCAAGCAGATGTCCTACATGTATGCCCATCTGCAGCAAATCCGTCTACCAGTATTTGAATCATCGCCTGGTCAAACGGACGGGTAGATTTTCTATACTCAAATCAAACAAGTTTCTCCTAAGATCTCCCAAATACTAGGTATGTTATTTAAGGTAAAATACATAACAAGTTAAATCACTAACACATATTGTCACTTGAATATTATTGCATTCTTATATGGGGAACAGCAATTAAAAGACTCATGGATAGAATTTTTAAACTGCTAAAACAGTTTCTGAGACTTATTTCAAATAGCCCAAGAGAGACACCTTCTGCCCCCTTTTTTAAAAATATAAGTTTCTTGATGTATTTGAGGTCTATAAACTTAATGCTGCTTTGTTTGTATTTAATTAAGAATTTCCTACAACCAAGTATAATGATTTCTTTATTGCAAACAGTTTAATCCATAATAGAGATACAATAAATATATTTGATCTTAGAGCTAATAACTTGAGATCAACATTTGGTCAAAAATCCATTAAGCGTACTGGACAAATTATCTTGATTGAACTTCCAAACTCAATTAGAGAACTCAATAGCAGGGATAAAAAACTGATTACTACAAGATATTACTTTTGAAAAATCGTGAATCTTAATTGTATGTATGTATGTTAAATGTTATATGTTTGTATAGACTATATTTTCCCTAGCAAAAGCCACAAAGTTGTTACATTTGCTAATTTTGCTTTTACTTGTGAGAACGAGTCCCTCATAACTATATTCATACAGTACTATTTTTGCATTGTATAATATGTTTATGTACATTATACTGTAAGTGTAAATGTATGTTATATCATAAATATAGAGTAAAATTAAAATAGTATAATGTAGAAAATGATGAATGTAATATAATACCTGCATTTCTCATTTTTCCATTTTCTTTCTTTATTCAAATCATGGGCTTTCAACTTGAAAGCCCGTGTTCAAATTTAGTTTTTTATAACATTCAGCAAGAAGTAGTGTAGTGCTGTAGTGAACAAACCATTATTTCACAACAAAATATTGTAATTAAATGCTTTAAATATCCAAAAGGATATCAAGCTGATTAGTATATTTTATTAAATGTATGTTATATGACTGCTGCATAAAAAATAAAATGTAACTTTGGATAAGCTTTAAAATGATATATGACACAAACTATGGGGACATTGGTATATGTCTGCCTCGGGGGATCCCATACTTTCGGGACATCCTGTATTAATACATGCACATTCCTTCCCTAAGGATTAATATTGGGTTAAACATTTTATTCATGGAAACGCACACCTCATTCACTAACGGACAGACTGAGAGGGCTTCAATCACTGAGAACGTGACATTATTTTTACGTGACATCTTTAAATCCATGTGCTATTGTAATACCATATACAAGGCCTGTCTGGTTGTTGTTTTCTATCGATAAATGCTCGATAGATGTCTAGTCGGTGCAAACAGGTTTGATTACTCTGCCATCTTTCCTAAGATTCTTGGTTTCTGTGATTCATTTCATGCTCTTTTTACCCATATAGATGTCAGCTCATATACTGGTTTTTACTTTCTTTAGATAACCTGTGCATATTCCTCAAAAATGAATACAGACAGTTTTGAAAACAAGAACTTATCATTAGAGAAATAATGCAGTCTAATTGAGTTTTATGGGCAGATAAGAAGGCTGTAGAATCATGCCCAATTATCGGCAAAATGAACAAAGGGGCATGCGGCGATTAACAAGTGTAAGAAATTTCAACAAATCTTTTTTCAAGAGAAGGTTTAAACATATATTGAATTTCTCAATGAATAAGCGCACGGTATGGTAAAATATGTTATGGCTTCAAGGAGAAGATATGATATCTCTTAAAAAGGCGCATCATCACTATCACTGTTCCAGTGTTAGTGAAATGCAGATTACACATTCAACTTAGTTTGACTGAAATCGGAGGTTTATCGAAAACGAAAGAACTTTTGCCGCCATCTTGATACTAGCTACAGTTAAGAGTCATCCAGCTGTGGAACAGTGACAAACGTGCAAAACTCAATGTTTTTGGAAGTTATTGGAGGTTTTAAGAATTTGTTACAGGCGCCAAACACCGACCCGTATGACCGCCACCCGCCGATCGCCAACCGCCGATCACCAACTGCCGCCACAAAAAAACGGAGAACAATATGTCACCACTTTTTGGTGGTGACATAAAAAGTCAGCAATGACATTAATTTTGTGATAATGACTTCATTTGTATCTATTGCAGGTCGTGTAGACCATTATTGCTTGATTTATAGCAGAAACATTGACCTTGGACGTTGGTGACGTTGCGCCTTTTTAAAGATCTGATTATTAGTCCCGAGCCCGACAAATGTTTTTCACAGAGCGGGATATAATGAATCACAGTTACACTGTCACGTAATTTTATAGGGCTCGCGGGATAGTCGCAATTGCAAACACCTTTATCCCGTATGAGCACTTTGTAGCACTGAGCCTCGGGACAGTCAGTTTCTCAAACTCACTGTCCCGTAATTTTTTTTTTGCAAACGACGGGATATAATTAATTGAGACCTGACATATCCCGGCGCTGGGTAAAAAAATTTGCTGCGGGATAAAGTGATTTCAGAACTTGACTAATGCTGATCAAAGTATATGCTATATGCTATCAAGCGATGGCGACCATTTTTACTTTTATAACTATAAATTGAAAAGTAGTGGAGCGATTTTGTTCATATTTTTATATGCGAATACTATAAGCATGGCACACTGTCTAATGACACTTTGGGTAGTAAGCGACCATTTTGAAAAATGGCGACCATTTTTACTTTTATA